TCTTTCTTTACGGTCAGTCAGTGACATTTGGGGACAGCACTTCACTTTCTTGGGAGGGTGACATTAGTTCCCTTTATTGACAGTCAATAGTTGCATGCAGGCCAGTCAAATTCTGATTCCCTTATATCCATTAATTTATTTGTACTGTCTTATAATGACAGTGCCGTGTCCTGGTTATCATGGCTTTAAAGAACATCTAAAAATGAACTTAGACGTTGTAAATCCTCTTTTCAAGTCTTTTGGAGAGCAGCTTCATGATACTGTCTCACTCTGCAGCCTAGGCTGACCTTGAACCCACGACCCTTCTGTGTTAGTCTCTACAGTACGTGACAGTAGGCCTGCCTATATACTTACACACAGCCATCAGCTTTTAACTTCCTTTAAAAACACCTGCTGATATTTTACTGGTATTACATTAGCTCTGTAAATATTTTATACCTTTTAAAACAAAATTTTGTTTTAATTTAAATAATTAGGTAAGCAAGCACTGGGTTGATTTCTTATCAATACTGAGCACTTTATTGAACAAAGTCCAGCCCTGAGCAGATTGTCAAACTTCAACCAGTCATACAAGCCAGGTACACTTCTGCAGCTATTTTGATGAGCTTCAAATTCTTACATGTCAGAAAAACAAGTGAGTGTGAAAATGTGAAATAATAGAATTAGGGGTCACAAGGATGGTAACAAGTTCCAGGAAATATTTAAGGGTTTCATAGTGTTTTCATCCCCGTTTGGTGGGTAAAGGGGAGGTAGAGGCTCACACAGTGACTCCATGGTAGACTGCCTCTCTAGAGGCTGCCTGACCTCCTAGGCTCCAGTCCTACAGTCCCCAGATGAGAGCACTCAGAGCCCCTCATGGTCACATTTGAAGATCACTAGGTCAGCCCTTGGTTTTTTGATGACAATAGGTTCTGGGGTGGATAAGGTATGGTCCTCCCCCCTCCAGATCCCCAGAAGTGACTTTTGGCTATGACAGTATTGTCTGTAAATCAGAGTCTTAATCTCAGAATATCACCAGACATCAGTCACCTGAGGGTTATCAAAAGCCTTGATTTCCTTTACATCAAGCTTTTGGCCTGGAAGCAGGGTGCTATTTTTGTACTGGGTTTTATTTCCAAAGATCTGAAGTCCTAGGAATAAATGATTATCAAATAGCTACTTCTGCAACAAGCTGTAGTGATTTGGGAATTTGTAGGTTTTCACCGCAATCAGCTACGGTGTTTCACAAAGGGATAGATTCATGGCATATTTCAGCTTTTAAAGTTTAAGCATTTTATGGAGTATGGATTTCTTGATGTAACAATAGTTATTAAAGACAGTATGAGATCTGGATAGAGAGAGAAGTCAGTGGCTAAGACCACAGTTTGGGTCTTAGCATCCATGGCGGGTGGCTTGCAATTGCCTGTAACTCCATCTCCAGGAATCTGGCACCCTCTTCTGGCCTCCATGAGTACTGACACACATGTATGCACACACACACACACACACACACACACACACACACACACACACACACATTCATGCTAGTGTGGTGGTTGATATGACTGTCAAGTTGACAGTGCCTACAATTACCTAGGAGACAAATCTGCAGACACAGCCTCGAGGCAGTCTCTAGATTAGGTTCAGGTAGAAAGACCCGCCCTAAATGTGAGTGGCAATCTCCCATGAGCACAATGCTCAGACTGAAAAGGAGAAAGCAGGTTGAGCACCAGCATTCATCATGCTTTGCTTCCTAATTGTGAATGCAACGTGACCAGCTACCTCATACACCTGCAGCGATGCCTTCTTCACCACAGTGGGCTGCATCCCCTCGACCGTGAACCAAAATACACTCTTAAATTGCTGATGACAGGCATTTCATCATAGCAACACAAAGTGACTAATTACACATTGCATGCTCCCTAATGAGTTGGGACTTCCCTGCTGTCTTTACACACTCATTTCCTGTTGAAACCCTGATGGGAGGCCATGCCATTAGTATCACTGTGGCTGAGGGCCTGGACTCTGAAGTGTCCTTCTACCTCCAGAAATCCAAAGACGCCTCCAACCTCTTACTCCCAGCAAGCACAGTGGTGAGCATTGAGAATGACTGCCGAGCTACCAGGCTAAGACAGCCAGGGGGTGCTAGACTAGGGAGGAAGCAAGAAGCCACACCAGCACCTTAGTCTTCATCAGGCTCAATGCCTAGCCTAGTGCTCATGGCTCTTTTTAGATTTTTGTGCTTGTCTTTGCCCATTCATGCAGATGTCTGTGGGGGCCAGAAGAGTGCGTTGGTTTCCTCCGAGCTGATTTACATGGAGGAAACAGAACTTCTGGCCTCCACAAGGGCAGCAGGCACTCCTCGCCACTGAGCCGTCTCTCCAGCTTCTCCCCCACATCCCCCACGAAGTTTTTAAGGATATAATAAAATGTTTTAATCTTCCCTAAAATCATATGTTGATAAAGAATATAATCCATCATGTCACCAGCAGTCTTTAACATTCATTTTGTTTCGTGTGTGTGTGTGTGTGTGTGTGTGTGTGTGTGTGTGTGAAACTCATCAAGAAGGCAAAACAAAATGTAGCCCTTGAGAGAGCCAGATTATGCACCCACTCATAGCTTGGTGGATCCTCTCGATGACTGCAGTTTATTCATGTTCATTTGGTGTGTACCCTCGGTCACAGCAGAGGCATCTTTTCTCCATTCATGATAGACAAGGTTAGACCTCAGTTGTTTGATTGTCTATCTGCAGTAATCTTTCATCTGTTCTCTTTTATTTTTATGCAGACCTTAGGGTTATCATAATTTATGCCCATAGGCTGTAATTAGTTAACTTGTTACCCTGGAGAATTTAGATTCTCAGTTTGAGAATTGACATACAACATCTCACTGTGATGTTTTTGGGGCGGGGGTGGAGAATTCTGTTCGCCCAAATTCATTTATTAAGAAGGCCATGGAAGATTGAATTAATACAGCCAGTTTCTGTTGAAACTTTCATTAAGATGTTTTGTCAAAGGTTTTTAAACCATGATGCAGTGTTCTGAAGGTGTCCCATCTCCCCCATAGAGCCATTCTTGGGACAAAGCTCCTTAGCCCTTCTCCCCTTCATATCAATACCAGCCCCACTTCATTTGTGGATTACCACGCAAGATTTTATTTGAACAATCATTTTTATGGCTAAACAAAGCTTATAAATCATTATCTGTAACCAGAAATTCCAATTCTTTTCCCATGATGATATTGCTGAATGTTGATATACCTTACGTAACAATGCATGTGCGAGAGCAACGTAAGTTTTAATTTATGTCTTAAGGATTAAATTTAAAAATATTTTTAGCTTCACTTATCCTATCCAACAACTAAACAATTGCAGAGGTAGTTGCTGGGTAGAACCATGCTCTGGCAGGGGAAATCACAGAAAATTCTGGTTTTGACATTAAGATAAATGCTCCTAGGGACCATTTCAACTGACAAGGGAGGCAGGAAGGAATGTTATGACTATAATTCCTAAAGGAGTTCTTTTCAAAGGAGAGTCTTGGCTCTGCTAGTGGCTGCTGGCATAGACCAAGTAACTGCATAGACATTCTCTTGGTGAAGAATCCAACAGAGGCAAGCCTGCTTGCCGTAGATCTGGCTCAGGAGTGGACTGAGTATAGAACAAGGGAGGTTTTTCTATTAAGACATCCTTCCTAGGGTGGACTTCCAACCTGGCACACATCCTCTTCTTAATCTTGATTATTGATCATCCAGCGGTATTTAATGAACACCTGCATCGATCATCTATTGCACAATCTACACCTCCCACAAACTCAAATTTTGGATTGCCTCCTGATCTAAGAATTAAAATCTACCGTGTGGGTCCAATCTGGCTTGTTTGACATCTCTACTCCCTACAGAATTTGAATCCAGAGCATAGGGCCTCAGTCTTCTGATTCTCTCCTCACCTTTCAGAAATTCCAGGGTCTCTCACCCTGGGAATAACTGACATGAGTTTGATACTGCCTTGTCGTGGCAGCAACTCTAGACATTAACTCTTTCCCCAGTTCCTAGTGTGACAACCATCAATGTCTCCAGATGCTTCCAGATGTTCTGAGTGGGGGGAGGGGGAGAAAGAAAAATTGCCACTACTGAGAAACATGCTGTAATCCACTAGGAGCCAAAGGCACTGAGAACACCCCCAACAAGCCCATCGTGACAAATGTATTTGGCTTTCAGGGAAAACTTAGGCCCATAGGATTTGACCGAGTCCATGTTTCTAGTCCTTGATGGATGCTTGAATCACCTAAGCTATTCACAAAGGATTAATTGGGCATTAATATTTTCTAAAATCTAGGCCTCCCCTCCCTTAAATTAAGTTCCTAGACAGTATCGACAAACTCTGAACTATGGATGTTTGGTGACGATCAAATGGAAAAACAAAACAAAACCCTAAACACAATAATAACCCCTAATGTATTTAAACTAAAAAATATCCAGGTGATTTTAGAGTTAGAAAATAAGTCCATATGTCCACAGGTTGCACAGCACAGGGTGTCAAAGACACTTCTCATTCATTTCTTGTTCTGGTGTCCTTGCAAAGCACCTGGGAAACTTGCTGTTTCTAGGAAGGCTGGCCTTTAAACAGGTGGGATAAAGGTAAGTCCCCTGAGGTAGAGCAATTCTCATTCTGGCTGAAAGTGGCATTAGTTAGAAACTGTGTCCAGGAGGCTGAGGAGGGCTGGCAGGGAAGGAGCACAGGAGTGGCCAAGGAAGAAAAACCTCTGAGAATTTCTCTGCAAAGCAAAGTTTTCAGATGGCTGCCTTCTTCCTTCATCCATGCCACAGTAAGAGTGCGAATAAAACCAACAGCGTGGGCTCTGGAGCTCTCACACCCCAAGATCCAGAAGTAGTATTTCCACAAAGCACACAGTTTGTGGAAACTGCTCAAGCCCCCTTTCACACAAGCCTGAGCAGGATTCCTAATACCCTCAATCAGCTAGCAAGCTTCCGGAAGGCAGGAGGCAAAATAAAGGGCAACTTTCTTAATTCAATGAGATTTTTATTTGGAAAAATGGTTGCTATGATTATTTACCTCAAACCATTGCTTTTGTCAGTGATAAAGTCTGTCTCTCATGTGTTCATCCCAGGGATTTTTCTACCCTCAACTTCAGTCTGCCCAGTCAGCTTCCACTAGCTTCTAGTTTGGGCTTCTGGGGACATGGATGAGTGCAGTCACAGACTACTCAAGAGGTCTGTCCTCAACTGAGCCACTAGGGAAACATATTTGTACTAAAAAAGACAGAGCGATATATTTTTCACAACCACGGTTACAATCATATTTTAGGTTATTATACACTTAAGGACCTGGAAATTAATTGATGCCATATAAAATGCAGAAGAGCAAGAGATTAATCTGACAAATGGTTTCCATAAAAAAAAAGCCATTCAGTTTCCCAAATTCAGTTTCCCAAATTTATCCTGTGTCCTGAGGTTTCTAAATGCCACAGAGCTCTTTCCAGCTGCTGTCTTCTGTTTTCTACAGCCCCAAGTTGGGAGAATATCAGCATCTTTGCAGAGACAGCACTTAGCTCAGTGGAGTGTTAACCCTTTGCTCCCCTTTTCTTAGGTGTTAAGCGCAGCCACGGTTAGGCCTATCCGTTTCAGAACGTTGCATTTGTAGATGGTGAAGACAGAGTCTTCAGCGACACTATTTCATACAGGGTAATCAAGGTCTCTGAGGCCATCCAGCCAAGTCTATGGTCAAGCTTCCAAATTTGTAGCGGTCACCTGGGAGTAAGGGCTTCCATCAAAGACGCAATAAACTAGGCAGGAGAGATAGCTGTCTCAGGGGACAGTCAGTGCTTTTCTTGGGAGGGGTGACTGGTGGAGTTTGTCACGACTGCCTTTGCGATTGCTTGTCCCAAATGGCTAGAGAAAATTGGGTAGACTCCCCCCACCCACCCCAATTCTCACCAAAGCATACCACACAGAGGCCATCTTTTCTGAAGAGAGCATAGTAAATGAATAGTAAATCTAGGCCGGATCACGCCGCTACATGATGACGCTGAGTTCACATTTCTCCAGCTTGTTCTCAGATGGCTCTGCCTTCACTTCCGAGTTGGGCTCTGAGTGATGCATTTGGATAAAAAGAATGTAGAAGAGGCCTCCAAAGAAAGCACCAACCATGGGACCCACGACAGGGATCCACCAGAAGTTATTTCCAACTCTGAAAGCAAACAGGAAATGAGGAGACATTTCTTGGCCACCCTGGTATCTCCACCTTGCTATTCACTAGGGACTATTTCTTGTGCCCACACCTCTCTTGAACTTGAAGAGGGCCAAGTATAAGCACACTCCCTCCAGCATGGCCATTGTTATCCTGGACTCTCCAGTGTACCTGATATTGGGGACCTACACCAGTGTTCTAATGACTGATTGTACACTGTTTATTTTCCTCTTAGAAAACATGGTACTTGGGCAAGTGAGATGGTTCGGTGGGTAAAGGAGCTTGCTGCCAAGCCTGATACCCTGAGTTCAATCCCCAGAACTCACATGTTGGAAGGAGAGAATCAATTCTTGCAAGCAGTCTTAGGGCCTCCACATATATCTGGTGGTGTGTTTGTAACACCCATTCTATACTCCCCCCAATGAAATGTAATGCATTTAAAAATGTACGGTTCCATGAATCCATGGCCAGAATTGAGGGACTCTAGAGAGGCTACTCAGTAATTGTCTTTCCTATGCTGTGAAATAATGAAGCTTGGGGTTGTGAATGAAACAAACAGAAGAGTTGCTTAGAACGTGAACAGATTCACAGTTAATGCTGACAACCAGAGAGTGATAAAGAAAATGGAAAGCGGTATGTGAATTATCATCAGAACCAGTGCTTAGCTCTGGAGGCACAGCCCACAGTGCAGTCTGCGAGGCTTTTGTACCACCATTCCGCTTTTCCATGCAGAAACCCCCAGGGTCTGTGCACTTTAGGAAAGATGCTGTCTTGGAGGCAGCAGGTGACTTTGTGAGGTTTACTTGTTTATTTATTAAGTGCCTCCACAGGAGTGACTTCTGTGATTGCTTAGGCAAAGCAAAGCAAAACAAGAAATCATGTCAGATGTAGACAGTCAAGGAAAGCTACTTCTAAAAATCGAGACAATGACAAACATCATCCAGGGAAAGCAGGCGAACATGAGGGATGGATGGGCAGAGGTGCCTGCCAAGGCTTCACTGTTGCGCTGACTAGATTCTGGTGTCCTAGTGTGAACTAACAGGAAAAGGCCTGGAGAGCATCTCAGTGGGAAAGCCCTTGTTTGATGTACACACGGCTTTAGGTTTGATCACCATGAGAAGCCAAAAACCTTCCCACCTCGCGTAATGGAGAGCATGCTGATTCTAGAAGAATCTTTACATGATTTTGCTTGATAGCCACAGACTGTTCCTTGTGGTCTTTTGTTTAGAGCAGGTTTTGCCTGTCTGAGATAGGGTCTAACTCTGCAGTCCAGGATGGCCTCGAACTCATTAGGCAGCTCAGGTTTCCCTCAGACATTCATGGACTCACCTACCTCAGTCTCCTGAGTGCTGGGGTTACAGCCTTCACACCTGCTGTGTGTGCAGCAGATTTTGATCTGAGAGGACAATGGAGGACACAAGCAGAAAACAGGAGCGCTGCCCTGGGCTCTGAAGACCTGCTCTCAACCCCAGGGCAATCTAGAAGGTCCCTGAGGAGGTACCCTCTCTGAGCTCCAGTTTCTTCACTTAAGGGAGGGACACTGCCTGGGCTGGATGAGAGAGCACGGCAGCCACCAGATGTCACTCTAACTTTGTGCAAGAGGTTGCTGGACCTGCCCTCACATGGTCCTTTCCCACACCTTCAAACCCCAAATCCGGATGGCAAAGAGTGGCTGCTTTCTCCTCTGGGTTTAAAACCCTTTCTGGAAAGCCTTGGCTGGAGGTGAGTGTGCTATCCCTGTAGCAGCCATTTTAGTTGCTCTACAGTTTCCTTTTTGGAGCATCTCCCTGTCAGGAGCTGGACCCTGACTGTTTTATATAAAGCTGGAAGCATTGTGCCAGAAACGGAAGTCCCAAGTGGAGGTGTTCAGGTGTGACTGCCTGTAGGGTCCTGTCTCAGCACACACACACACAGGACAGCTAGCATTTACTCTGTGCTCCTAGGACTGCCGTAGGAACGTGTGTGTGTGTGTGTGTGTGTGTGTGTGTGTGTGTGTGTGTGTACATGGGTATGAGGGCATGAATGCTCACGTGTGCACATCTGGAGCCCATATTAGGTACACCCGTATAGTCTCCCTCTGCTTTATTGAGCTGAGACAGCATCTTTCACTGAAGTGGAAACTCTCCTTTCAGCTAGGCTGGCAGCTCTCAGGATCCGCCTGCTGTCTCCACCTCTCCATGGATTGGCATGAATTCTATCCTACTACTCTCTCCCTTTTCAGTTCATCTTATGTGGTATGCCAGATTAATTTTCAACAGTAGGTCTTCTACACATGCCAAACTTCTGCCCCAAATCCTAGTGTGTGGGGTGATTTGGAAATGTCCTTCTCTATCACAGTGACTTCTGCATATCTAACGCCCAGTAAAGCTCTACTGAGAGAATGAGGGACTCACGAGTCCCTTGGCAGCAACAGATGTCAATTCTAGTCTGGACCTGGTCACAAAGTCAATCTGTAGACAAGTTATATATAATGAAAATGTCTCGTGTTTAACCAGAGCATCCTTAGCCTCTGGACCACATGCTCCTGCAGCTCCCAGTCAGGGCTCAGTCCCCCCTGCTGAAGCAAGGCAGCCACACTTTCCTCTCCTCCCTGCCATTGATACTTACGTGAAGACCTCAAACCCCCATCCTGCCAGAGCAGTGAAGAGCCTGGGGCTCAGGTCTCGAGCTGGGTTCATGGCACAGCCAGTGTTGAGGCCCAGAGAACAAGAAAGGGCAATAATCAGGAGACCAATGACAACGGGCTCCAGGCCCCTGGGAACCCCAATGTTTCTGGAGTCAAAAATGGCAAAGACAATCAGAAGAAGGAACATGGTAGACAGCACCTGGAGAGGGAGAAAATGTTTCAGAGTTCAGTCTGCTCTGTCTGCCTGCTCACCCAAAGTCACCCCTTCTGCTGGGACATGAGAACAACCGGGGCTGACACCAAGAGCCAGCACAACTTAGAGTACTTGCTGCTATTGAAGAGGACACGGGTTCAGTTCTCAGTACCCACCCACACAGCAGCTCACAACCCCCTGTGACTTCAGTTCCAGGGAATCTGATACCCTCTTATGACCTCCACAGGCACTGCAAACACATGGTGCACAGACAGATACAGGGGCAAAACCCACCACCTAAGATAAATAAATCTTCATAAAATGAATCTGGTGCCAGCTAACACAGTGGAAGGGAGTGTGGCTTGTCCACAGACATGCTAGGAGCAGATGGTGACAGAAGCATCCATTGCAGATTGGGTGCCTGCTAATGGTCACACAGTTGGTCCAGCTCCGGAAGAGGCTGGTCCTATCACACTGTCTGCTAGGCTGTTGGTCAGCAACACTGAGGGACAAGGGGCAAGATCAGAAAGTGAAGGAGGGCTGACTCGGACTGGATGTAAGGACAAAAGCAAGAAAGCAATAGATGAACATGCAAAGGGAATGTACAGAAATTTCTTATTGGGAAAATCAGGCTGATGAAATAAGTGGGGAAATCTGCTTTGTAACAAAAGAAATGCAAATAGTAGCAAAGTTAGTAAAAACCCATTCTTTCCTGGGGTTTTCTAGTACAACTTAACACATGCCAGGCTCTTGAAAGGAAATCTGCAATAACTTATCAAATGCATTTAAAAACCTAAGTTCATGCATACAGTTCAGTAGGTCAGATTCATGCCATAGACATAATCTAAACTATGGAAAATTATTTCAAAATATATGTATGTACTTAAGCATGGTTTGTCATGCTGGAAACTAGAAGCCATTTAAGCAAGCATCGATAACGAAGGAGGGAACTGCATTACAGGCTGTCTATTCCATAATTTACTATAGGGACACTAGGATCTATAAACAGCGTCAGTGAGATGGCTTAATGGATAAAGGTGTTTGCTGCCAAGCTTGATGACCTAAATTCATTCTCCTGAGCCCACATAGTTGAAGGACAGAACCAACACCCAAAAGTTGTTCTCTGGCCTCTGCATGTGTACTATGACATGCACATGTGTGCACATACACATACACACTAAATATATATGAAACTTTTTTTTGTAAAAAAAACAACTATAAATAAAACTATGTGGCAACATTTTTGGGTGGTGAGACAGGGTTTCTCTGTGGCTTTGGAGCCTGTCCTGGAACTGGCTCTTGTAGACCAGGCTAGTCACAAACGTACAGAGCCTGCCTCTGCCTCCTGAGTGCTGGGATTAAAGGCATGCACCGATGGGGACTGTTCTTCTGTGTATATGTTTCTCTAATTGGTTAATGAATAAAACACTGATTGGCTGATTGGACAGATAGGAAGTGATGTAGCTGGGCAGAATTACTATATAAGCAGGGACAAACAGGAAATCGCTCTCTTCTCTGTGGAGACGCTAAGCAGTTAACATGTAGCAGGCAAAGGAGTTTCGACTCTGGCATTCCCTGCTAAGATAAGACCACGTGGAAATACATAGATTAATAGAAATGGGTTAATAATTAAGACAGAGATAGCCAGTAAGAAACCTTAGCCAACGGCCAACAACTTATAGCTAATTTAGAGCTTTATAACTAATATGGTGTCTGCGTGTTTCTTTGGAACTGAGAAGGGCAGTGGGACCAGCTAGGCCAGAAAGCTCACATCACATGCACCACCATTGCCTGACCTGTGATAACATTTTTAAATGCTTATAACAGTGAGAAGTTAAATATTGTAAATGCACTTTTTATTTTAAAATACACACAAAAATAATAGTGAGTGACTATATAAAAATGTTAACAGACACTCTCAAGTGGTGGGATTTTTCTGCTCTCTCCATATTCTAAACTGTTAATCAATCATTTTGCTTTGCAGCCTAGATGACAGCCATGAGCTGCTGCATAGGTATTGTCTGTCACACAGCGTGTTTTAACTTTCTGAGGTGCATAGCATGTCCACCTCACTCATGCTCCATCCTGTGCTTCATCTCACTGAAAAGTTGTAAAGGTCCCTCTGAGGGAAGCCCTGCTCTTCTCCTTACAGATGAGGGGACTTAGGTAGACAGAGGTTGAGGCATGTGCTCTGGGGCATGTAGAAGAGGCAGGCTGGGAAGGAGCCAGGTGATTTTACACTTTAATCCCTTCAGTGCTTCCTGGGCTTTCCAAAAGTAGTCAGAGTTAAAGAATTTGTGCTTTGAAAGCCATCTTCTCCAGAGAGCCCGGTGTCTGCAGAGCCCTTCCTGACCATCTCTGGCAGAGTGGAACCCTGGGCTGGCCTTGCACTTCAACTTGGTTTCTTATCTCTGCCCTTGTCACGCTGAACTACCTGTGTACTTACCAGTGGAACCTCTGACCCTGGCATTAAAGGAAGAGCGGGTTGGAACCACAGGTGTCTAGCAAGTACATATTGGCTAGCAGAAGTACTTGGGGAAAAAAGCTTGAACATAGTCAGAGTTCAACAACTAATGCTACTGAAATGGAGTGGCCCCAAAGCGTGGCCCTGGTGGGCAGCATCTCTCTTGGGTGTTGACTGACTGAATATTGGTACTTCCTTAGACTTTCTAAAGACATAAGACTGCAGGGAGCCCTTGGGGATTTCTGATATTTATTCTCTCTATTTAACCATGTACAGTAACTGCTTAAACTCTATAATCCCTGGAGGAAATTTCAACTCACTTTGAGATAAGGATGTGGCGAAGAAAGTGTAGGTGAAGACAGACCTCTACTAGCCAGATACCAAGCAGTTCTCTAAGGCACACAGCAAAACATCGTAAGGCTTGAACAGGGAGAATATGTGACGTTCTACAAGAGTTCATCAGAACAGAAGAGAAAAGGAAGTAGAGAGGAGCAAGAGCTGGACTAGGTAGAAATGTTGCTATTGTTGGTTGTCCAGTAAGTATGGGGAACTGCTGTGGTGTGTCGGGTAGTATTCATGCCATTTACCAGAAGGCTAAGCCAAGACCTTAAAAAGCTCTGAGTTTTTTGCACAAGGACAAACAGGAAGTCAGTAGGCAGGCAGCATGACTTGGCCTCCCCAGCAGAGTGCAGTTTTTAGAGAGGCTTGTGTTGCTGCTGTCTTGCTGTGTGGTGCTGTGTCAGGGGTGTCTCTGGGACCAGTGAGGGAAGGGAGGAAGGCTGTGTCTGTGAGAAGCAGGACAGTGTCACTCCGGGACTCAGTGGAGAAGGATGAATTGTGGCACCAAAGTCTCTGGGGCTGGAGGTCAGCTTTGTTCCTCAGATTCTCAGAATAGCTGGGAGAACACGACACTGGGCAGAAAGAACAAGGAACAAGAAAGGCAGTTCCAGTGCAAGTCCAAGCCTGGAAGGCCAGTATTCTCCCTCTCTTGCTTGCAGTAGGATAGGTCCACGTTCACAGGAGAGTGCTGTGAATGTCCCTTGAGAGCTCTGTTTGATTCTGATCTTCCTCAGCTGGATGGAGAGGCAAACCAGCTTCCAGAAACCCTGAAGGTTTTGCCCATCCCAAAGTCTATTCCAAGGTACCCAGTTGCCTTGTTGACTCAGAAGATAAATGGCTAATTGCTCTGGGTTTTTGTTGGTGCTTAACTGTTCCCACTGTCTGACGGCATCCAGATGGAGCTACAGCAATAGACTCCTAGTGCTTTGAAGCTAGTAAGATTAATTTTGTCCATCTCGCTCTCTGTATAGTAGCTGATCACAGATTAAGGACCCCAAACCTGTACCACATCATGCCTTCAGCAATGTCTCTCTACCTTGTCTCTCCTTGTGCCTGTTTGCATACTGCTGTCTAAACAATCCTCCTGTGACCACCTTCTCTTTAGACAGCTCCAGTTTCCCCTACTTTTTAAACTTCTGTTTCCAATCAGCTAATCTGGTATCTTAAGTAGGAAGACTCTGAGGTACTATGTCCCAAGCTGCCCACTGTCCAGAGTTCATCATTCCCACAGTTCCTATAGTGTACTATTAAGAGGCTACCAGACTGGCCTCCAATAACTACCTCCAGTGACTGCTGTCCTCAGGTCTTTATTTAGTGCACGACAAATTTTTTGAAATCCTCTTTTTAAGGGATGCAACTCAGAATAATTATAATTTCACTCATTTATAGACTCAGCCATTCATTAATTTATGTTGTTTGGTGCTCAGTGATGGAAAACCTACCTTCCACATCCAATGCCCCAGGTTCAATCCCTACTACTGCAAACAAAATGTTGAGGCCTCCCAGGTAATGGGCTCTGCCAAGGGGAAGCTGACTAGCTCCTTCCCTGCCATGGAACTCATTGAAGGGGATGAAGAATGCACACATAGTGTTTTCTGTGAGAAGTGCATGGCTTCAAGAGTTGCTGCCAGTGTTCTGGCTGGAGAGTGGAAGAGATATGTGGTAGGAATGAGAAACGAGATTTTCCTATGAAGCAAGGTGTCTAGAACTGCAGGGGGGCTGCTGTTGAGTCAGGATCATCCTTACTATAGGCGAAGGGAAACTGGATCGAGGAAAGAGAAGTCTGTTTGGGATGCATTGTGGATGCTAACTGAAGTGTTCTCAACTTGGCTATTGCAAAAAGACAAGAAGGAGAGAAGGATATTCCTGAACTGACATGCTATTGTGCCTCAGCCACTGGGGCCCCAAGAGAACTAGCAGAATATTAAAGCTTTGCAAGTTCTCTAAAGAAGATGTTGTTCACTGGTGTTGAACCAATGTCAGAAAGCCATTAAACAGAGAAGGGAAGAAGCCCAGGACCAGCGCACCCAAGATTCAGTGTCTCATTACTCCACATGTCTTGAGTCACAAATGCTGACATATTGCTCCTAGGAAACAATACGTCAAGAAAACTAAGGAAGAGACTGCAGACTATGCCTAACTGTTGGCCAAGAGAATAAAGACATCCAAAGAACACCAGAAACAGATTGCCAAGAGGTCTAGGCTGTCTTTGCTGAAAGCTTCTCCTTCTAAGTTGGAGCCCAGTCAAAATAAACCTTCAAGAATAACAAATGCAGAATCAGACCTCAAAATTTTTTATCACCTATTATGTTCTCTTGCTTTCAAGTTTCTTTTTTTCGTTTGTTTGTTTTTTTGTTTTTTGTTTTTACGAGACAGGGTTTCTCTGTATTGTTTTGAAGGCTGTCAGTCCAGCCCAGCCTCGAACTCACAGAGATCTGCCTGCCTCTGCCTCCCGAGTGCTGGGATTAAAGACGTGCACCACTACCGCCTGGCTCATCAGGCTTCTTTTGGAATAGGGGATGAGGGATCAAATCTATTCTGTTTTTCCACGTAATGGCCCTTGAGCTCCCTGAAGTACTTTCTCATGTCCCTCCTCACACACACTGTCCTCAAGCCTTATCTAGATCCAGAGTGACTTCCACTCACTGCCTGTGTGATATGGAGGACCTCTGGCTTCCCTTCACAGAAGCGTACCCCTGGCTGTGTGTGACACCTGGGAACAAATCTAAAACTCAGTCACTTCACTTGCCTACCGTACATAGATTATTACACACGGCAACAACATTCCTTCTTCAGAAAAGTTCCTCAATTTGCTGGAGTCATTCACAGCATTGGGGACAGGAATGGTATTCCAGTTCAAGGACTCAGACTCTGGTTCTTGCAACTTTGCAGTTCACATTCAATTTCAAGTCCTTCAAGCCCCAGGTATGGTGCCGAGCACCTAGGGAACTGTCGATAAACATTTGTGTACTGCTTTACTTTGCCATCAAAGTGGAAAAGTTATGGTGAGGATATGGGGATCTTTTCACAAACCAACCAATACAGCTGTGGCTCTTTGTGATAGGCTCTCACTGTGCAGCCCTGGTTGATCTGGAACTTCCTGTGTGGACCAGGCTGGCCCAAAACTTGTGGTGCCTCTGCCTCCCAAATGACACATCTAACAGAAGCTACTTCAAATATCTCCTTTGAGAGTCAGGTAAATCTAGGCCTCCTGGAGAGATAGGGCAGGTTCATGACACCCCAGGCTCACTACCATATTTCACAGTCTTTGGAGTTAGAGATGCCATCTCTTGTAGCTAATACCCTTAGCACAAAAGAGACACTAGAAGTGAAGTGAACCTCATTTGCCTCTAGTCCAGGCAGCCACTCTTTGTCTTGATCTCAACTAATATGAAGCAAGTATGTGTATTAAAAAGGAAGCCGAGAACTCTTCTAGTGGCATCAGCATCTTCAAGGTTGAATTGTTGTCAAGAAAACTCTGTTCATATAAGGACCTCTGTCTTAGAAATGCAATCCTTCTTTTTGACAGGCATACAACCCATCCCTGTCCCCACTTTCTATCATGTCTTTCAACCAAAATTAGGTCTTTGTTGACTCTTCACTTACTTGGTCTACAAAGGCATTTGGCAGGGATATGAATGGAGCTGGGTATGTTGCAAAAATGAACGCTGTTGCATTTTCTCCCACGATGAGCAATTTTCCATCAGCAAAGGCCATGAGTCCATCTATGGAAGACAGAGCTCAGGGACATTAGTGTTTTCTGGAAATGGCTGAGGGAGGCTGTTCTGGTTGGCTTTAATTAAACTGTGGCATAGCTTAGGATAACCCGAGAAGGGAGTCTCAACCAGGAAATTGTCCTGATTTGATTGGCTTGTATATAGGTATATGAGGGATTGCCTTGCTTCTTAACTGATGGAGATGGGCCCATCCCACTGTGGGTGGAGCTACTCTTCTAGGCTGTCTAAGAAAGCTGTGTGTGCCTGTGCCTGTGAGTAAGCCAGCAAGCACCAACCTTCCATGTGTTCTGTTTCAAGTTTTTGCTTGAATTCCTGCTTTGACTTCCTTCTGTAATAGACCATGATTTGGAGGGTGACATAAACCCTCTCCCCTTCTAAATTGCTTTTGGTCAGAGTGTTTTATCACAGAAACAGAAATCAAAGTAGACAGCTCTAAACTTGGACCCAGTCCTTAGTCAGTGGGGTCTTGGAGACCAACCTTTGGGGATGTGGGTAGAATTCTTGGAGTTTTCAAGATTGATCTAAAACCAAAGTGTGATTTTTAACTCAGTGGACCAGGGCTCTCTAGTGCCCCTAAAAATTTACTTCAGAACTTGAAGTTGTACCTGGATAATGAAGATACTATGGACGACCTGTGGAGTCCTCAGAGCCAGGAAACTGGCTGCCACTGATACAGGCAGCACCTACCCTATGCCTCTCTTTGCTGAACTGCTGGCTCCCTGAGTTTCTGGTCTGACCTCAAATCTTCCTTAGACATTTAATTTTCAGAGAGACACTGTGGGGAGAGGCCCCATTGTACAACCAGTTTCCTAGGGTTTGGATTATCAGTGTCTTCAGTTTGCCATTCAGAATGCTCTGAGGCTCATCTTGGGTTGTACGCAAGGAACTATTTTAACAGTTGGTCACACACAATTCTAAGATTCCTTAGCCTTATTTCTTTTCTTATTTATTATTTTTTCTGAGACAAGGTTCCAAGTTACTCAGGCTGGCCCTGCATTTGCTTTGTAGCCGAGAATGGCTTTGAATTCCTCATCATCCATGAATGAGGCATCATGCTTCATTCCCAGATGATTTCTTTAAGTCACAGAGCTACCAACTGCCACAGCCTCAGCTCAGTCCTGGGCTTATGGTCACCAGGACCACATTTACCTGCGGCCTGCTCTGGAGCTGTTGGCTAGAAGGGGCACAGGCCCCCACCCAACTTGCTTCTTGACAGTGCCGCTTCTTCCTTAAAGGCATGTTCCCGGGTTCCTACTCTAATATTTTCTGGCCACAGCTTTCATGACCAGGCAGGACCTCTTTTCTAGTCAAGTCAGAGAGCCCACTAGCATTTTGCCTATGTTCATATTGTAGAATATTGCAGTGCAGGGTGGACCTGGACTCTTAAAAGTTGTACCCTCCCACTTTGGGATTCATATTTTGGGATCTAGAGAGGAGGCTCAGCAGTTAAGAACTCTAGCTGCTCTTCCAAAGAAGACCTGAGTGAGTCCCAGAACCTACATGGCATCTCACTATGGTCTGTAACTCCAAGTTCCAGGGAATCTGATACTTTCTTCTGACATCTGTGATAATCAGACAGGTGGTATACAGGCAAAAACAAACAAACAAACAAAAACAACAACAAAAAACCCCACGAGGATAAACATCTTTGGATTGAAAAACCAATTTGCAGATTTTATTAAAAGGCTTCATAATTGCCTGGTTGATAACATGGGCCTCATTGTCATAATGCCCCCCGTTCACACTTAGTCTCACTGCTGTCTACCAAGGAATTCAAGCTTGCACAGGCTGCCTCACCAGCCCTCCAAGTCTTTGGACTCCAGGTCAATACTCACCATAGTAAACACCAAAGACAGCTGCAGCTCCCACAAAGGCTCCTAAAAACTGGGCTCCCACATAAAAGGGGAACTTGAACCACTCCATCCTTCCAAAGACACACATTGCAAAAGACACAGCTGGGTTGATGTGGCCTCCTGTGAGGAAGAAGAGAAAGTCAGGGAATAGAGGCCAGAGAGTGGGGGTGGGGAGAGGGAAACAGAAACACAGATGAGTGTTGGGGAGTGACTAACAATCCACAGCGCTATTAAACACAGTTAGAATGTCTATCTGTATGGAAAGGGATCAGACATTAAAAGCTTGGTGTGAGTAAGCAGCTCGTTTTATTTTTAAAGTGGAGTTTTAGCCATCAATTAAGGAATACCACAAGTAGATTGATGCAAACTGTTACTGTGAATATATTTTGAAGGCAACTGAGGCTTGGGTCCATATCTAACAATTCTTCAGCACATGCCCAGAGGCTGTAAAGCCATCTTCATGTTGGGAAGGGATGCTGTCCTGCTAGATGTTCTGTGCCATGTCTGGATGGATCCTTCAAATCCCTTTGTGTAAACAGTGTGTTCTCTCACACAGAAATGTAGCAACAACTCCCTCAACCCAACCCAAGCTGTAGGTAGCAAAATCAGCTTTCTGATTCTCAGCTGCCCATATGGTCAGAGAGGTTTGCTCTGTGCTCAGTGATGGTCCCACGTTGACCAGACACCACCACTGTGGTGTGGTGATATCTTTCTTGCACAAATAAAGCCTGTCTAGGGGTCAGATAATGGAGCTTGCCACTAGCTGACCATAGAGATCTGTATAGACAGACAGACAGACAGACAGACAGACAGACAGGAAGTGACATAGCTAGGCAGAAACAGGATATAAACAGGGAGAAACAGGAAATCGTTCTCTTCTCTGCTGAGACACTTAGAAGGTAAGGCGTGCTGTGACTTTCTCCTCTCTCATCTCTCAGCATTTCTCTCTATATCTGACTCCAGCCTTTTATTATCTAGACCAATTAAGAACTCCTTTTACACTGTGGTATTATTTAGACTTCAGAACGGAATGGAATGGATTCTGTTCTAGTTAACTGGTGAGAAAACTGAGAGACAAGAGAAACTTTCTCCAAGCTACATGGTCAGTGAATGATGGAACCAAAATTCAAGTCCAGATTTATCTGAATTTAAGATCCAGGTTCCATTAACCCACTTCTAGACCTCCTTTAGCATGTTTGTAAGGATTTCTCTGCCTTAGGGCTGGGGAGCATTTTGGTGGTCTGGAACTCCTACTGCTTTTGCACAGGGGACTGGTGGGAAATTCCTGGAGCCAGCCTGCATTTGCTCCTCTTCTCCCTGTGGCTACATGGGGAGTCCTTTAGTTAACAGAGGGCAGACCAGGAATGCGGGGCCAGAGGTTCCAATGGCAGCCCTCAGAACAAATGGAATGCCTTACATTTCTAGACTTTCAAGGAGGGGGAGGGTCTGTGCCTAGAGAAGAGGGTTTCTGAGCTTAGAGGAGATGAGCGAAGGGACTAGATAGGATAACAGGCATGGCTAATCCCCTCTAACAGGGCAGACTACATGATCTAAGACAACCAGCCTGGAGGCACTCACTGTTAAAGGACAAGAGGGTCATCAAAAGTCACCTCTGATCAAAACCATCCCTCAGGAGTGCCTTGCCCAGTAAGACCTCTAGAACAAGCTCTCTTCTAAGATAAAATTTCCAGAAGGTAGGTTTACATTTTCCAAGCGCCCTGAAAGCCTAATTAGCCTCAGATCTCATGTGATGTCAGCCACTTCGTATGCATTTTAGATAAGAAAGCTAATGAAATAATCAAGGGGTTTTGTTTGGACGATGGACATGACAGAAGTCTAGGGACAGCTGCTTAGGAGTCAGAGGGTAGATCTTGGAGGAAGCTTTGAAAACTAATGAGGAGAAGGGGCTAAGGGGTAACAAGGTTCAGGATGGGAGGGGAGCAATGGCTGAAGTTCAGAGGGCTGTAGAACTTCCTTCCTACAGACCTGAGTGGCTTACTGCAAGGCCAAGGCCAGAGCAGTGTAGTGGAAAGAACATGAGCCTAGGGCCAGAGAGTCCTGCCCTCGTTTATTGGCTCTGCCAAGGTTACTTTGATGACCATATTATTCACATAAAGAACCCCCTCGGGGAGCAGCTGGAGTCCAACAGGCCTAAGATGTGGGTCTTGGGTGAGCTAAGTGAACTCTTCAAAGATTCTGTTCTAGGTAAACTCCCTACCACCCTCACACAATTCTGTGACCAATAGCTTACAATTCTCCTGTCACTGAGCAAGGCTATTCTGCTTTTTCAGTTAACTCATTTACAAAATGCAACGTCAAAATTAGTTCCCAACAGGATCTGCTGAGATGCCTGAGAAGACAAGTTAAAGGCCCTTGCCACCAAGCTTAACAGCCTGAATTCAATCCCTAAGACCCATATGGTAAAAGGAGAGAACTTATGGTCTCTATGTGTATTCTATGGCATATGTGTGCATGTGCAAATGTACACGCACACACACACACACACACACACACACACACAATTTAACTTTAAAAAATAGTTACCATCAGGCAGCCTACATGCTTTGAGTAGCATATTACATGTGTGTATAACAACAAGCTCTGATTGGCTGAATGGCACATTCGCAATGGAGCAGGAAGCTAAAACTCCTTTATAGCAAATTGATTGTTTATATTTAAAAGTGAAAGGCCACTAACTTCACCACTCTGTGGACACAAAATTGGATAACATTTATATTCATGTCTAGCATGTACTGGTTTTTCTTGGAGTCATCTAAAAGGGTTTCCCATGAGGGTACAAACCATGTTAGGTATAGCCACCTTGATAGCAACATCTCCCACACGATTATCTTCTCTGATTCCTGTGGCCACTAATGCCAAGATTCATGCTGTGGTCCATGTAGCTATCATGGAGAACACATGCGTTGTCCCTGTACATTCCAAGTCATCAGTCCTCAGAGCCTGAACTATGCTAGTTCTAAACAGAGGCATGCTAGGTGCTCCCATTCCAACTCAACACTATCATTCGCCAGTCGGGCTCATCCACCATTTCATTGGTTTTGGGTGCTCTCACAGCCTCTCATAAACAACTTGGTCAGAGCCAAAGTCTCGCCTGGAAATGCAACCTCTAGTCATTTCTGATTCTCACTGCCAAGAACTTAGCCTCAGTACCCAGGCCAGACGGGACAGCTCTTTGCCATCTTTCTGCTCCGTCTTATCCTTCCTGCTGCTTCTTTCAACACTTCTCCTCTACAGTGATTCCTCAAGTCCCCACACAGAACAATGAATGCAAAGATCCATGACCTACCATGGCAGTGATATGGGTCAATTATATCAACAGAATCTGAGGGGAATTAGTACCATATGATTATTTGACTATGTTCAACTCAGAATATCATGCAGGCAGAATACTCTAAACTGGTGGTTCTCAGCCTGTGAGTTGAGACCCTTCAGGGTTTAAGGTCCCTTTCACAGGGATCACAAACCAGATTCCTGCATATCAGACATTTACATTACAATTCATAACAGTAGTTCCATGACTCAGAACATCTGGTCCTGCCCTGGGTCTCTTCCTATGTTTCCAGACTGCATTCAATATCATCCCATCATTTTGCTTTGCAGAACCCTGTAAGTGGCCATAATCAGCCTGACTACCTGGGAAGAACAAGGTTAACATTTTCTAGCTCAGGTACTCCTGTCAGGAAGACAGAGTTGATGTTTCTTAAAACCTAGCTTCTCTGATTGTAGCTGATAATGATCCAGGAACTTGCTTCTGCTGGTGTGGCCTTTGTTGAGCTATTCACAAGTACATGTGGGAAATGGCTTCCAAACATGAGATTCACAAAATAAGAAGTACTGATTACTGGAGGACACACTGCTCAGACATGAGTGCTAACCCTATCTGGTCCTTGTTCAATGTTGCCTTTACATAAGACACCATTTGTTGGTATTTATATTTTATCATCTATAAAAAGATATCAATACATATTCTCATAGGATTGTAGAGACACAATAAATAATGTACATAAAGTGGCCAACCATGCTAGCACATTGGGACTGCTGCATTAATAGTTGTAATAATGACATCATACCAGAGACACCTCCAGTGACATAGATAGCCATCACAACTGCTGATGCAAATCCAATATTGATAGTGACGATTCCACCAAAATGTCCTCGGCTGAGGACTGCTTGGGCAACAGAGCCACATCCAAGGACCTAGAAAGAAGGGACAAAACAATGCATTAAGGAAGTGGGAATGCAGTATGCATTCATGGTGTGTGTGTTTTAAGTAAAGACATGAATTCAGCTCCCTTAGTTATCAATCAATTCAATTATAATGTTCCAGCTGTCTCCATGGTGACATCTAAGTTGCAGATGAATCTTACTAGGGGTGTGCAATGTAAACATCTTGCCTATAACTTATAAATCAGGTAAGTTCACACCATGTTCTAGATTCCTCTTCCCAAAGGGATGAAAAATGAAGATTCCAAGAAAAAAGTATAAAAGGTTGTCCTAAGATTTCCCCCGGAGAAATATAATTTATATATGAGACATTCAACACATACTTGGTGATTTCAGCTTATACCTCCCAAAAGACAGAATACAGATAGTACACAGGTGGCCTTTGGATGTTCTACTGTCCCCAATTCAAGGATATATCCACCTATCTTATTTGAAAATTGCTGGACTTAGGAGATGCAGAAGAGCCTGGCTTCTGGAGAGAAGCCCTTGATATGCATGGCACATGTAAGACTTAGACTTGATTCACAGTTTTGGTGCCATAGTCTACATTAAGTGGTAAATCAAGCTGTAGTCAGAGTGCTCTTTTCCCTTTTAGACCACTCTGGCTCCATTTTATAGCCTGCTAACTGACCCCCCCCCACTTCCTCATCAAGACTGTCAGAATCAATCCTACATTCCTATCTTGATTTTTCCTTTGTAATCTGAGGCCAATTAAATGTTTAGTATAACTTCTGAACTAAGCAAGTAGCACTGAGTAGCGTCCTCAGAAAGTAGGGTTGGATATTGTTTCGGTCTGAGATGAGCTATTTTGGACAGCCAGTGCAGAAGTAGTACTAACTCTCCAAAGGAGAGGCTTCCCCTGGGCATGATTCTGCCACACAACCCCTAGTGTGGGTCCAGAGGGAACAGAAAAGTTTGAACTAGAGTCCCCAGAGAGACCTCTGACCGGTCTGATTTCACTCTGGGAAATACCTTCCTTTCTATCCTAGATTCTGCAATCACCTTGAGGACAGGATGTGTGGGGGTGGGTATAACTCACCCCGTAGGCTGAGGGGGAGGGGTAGGAGGAACTGTGAGCCATTAGGGACTTCCATGACCTTCGTCAGAATTGCCACCCAGAAGTCTATAGCATAGATCTGTAGCATCGCAGTGTGTGTGTGTGTGTGTGTGTGTGTGTGTGTTTGTGTGTGTGCTGTATGTGCATGTGTGTGCAGGAGTATACACATGTGTGCAGGCATATACACATGTGTGCAGGCATACACAACTGTATATGTCTATGAGAACATCAGAAGAGGACACATGTCTACCATCTTGCTCTATTGCTTTCTACGTCACTTTTTTGAAGCAATGTCTCCCACATTGAACCTGAAGTTCATCCTTTAGGCTAAGCTGGCTAGTAAGCTCCTGGGATCCTCTTGTCTCTGCTCCTCAACACTGGGGTTCCAGGCATGTGTGAACCTTCCCTGCTTTTTAACATGGCTGCTAAGATTGTGAATTCAGGCCTCCCTGCTTTCACACAAGCACTCTTAACCCACTGAACCTTCTGTCTAGCCTCAGTATTGGGCCTTGTTAGATATTTCTGTCATAGCCTGAAAACCAATGAGGACAACGGTACAAATAGAGTGAGTCATTTAACCTCTCAAAAGAAGAACACCGTCCTGTGTGTAGTCTGACTTGTAAGAAGCCTTCCCTGTTCTCAGGCCCAGAAAGAAGGCGGTGCTTGTATTTATCCTGCTTTTGTTTTTCTAGTCTATCAGGAAATCTATTTAATTACATTACCTACTGGGATTCTTCTCACCAAACCTAACCTGAAATTCAATTCTTCTGTAGCATTCAGTTATACTGCCATCAGTTCTGTGTTGGATTTAGTTTCTGTACCTAGAAAATAATCTTTAAAGTTTCTTTCCAACATCCAAGCAAAATGCTAATAGCTGCCACTAATGTTCTGTTTCTGACACTTCTCTGCAGATTTCATAGGCCCACAAGGTCATCTCCTCATTCTTTAAACACAAAAACAAACAACCTAAGGGGCTAGAAAGATGACTCCATGGTGAAGAGCACTTACAGCTCTTGCAGAAGATCTGTGTTCAGTTCCCAGCACCTGAATTAGGCAAGTTTACAACACCTATAACTCCAGTTCCGGAGGATCTACCACCTTCTTGTCTCCAAGGGAACCTACATGTGCATGGCACATATAAGACAAGCAGACATACACATACGCATAAAATTTGAAAATTTTAATTAAAAATTTTAGTTAGCATATGAAACAGTGGGTTCCATTATTACAACTTCATAATATATCAGTGTGCTTTGCCATTCATTGAACTCCTCCGTCCCAGATAATCTCCCTCTGTTTTAAGGTTATAGGTAGGAAGACAGATGATGAATAGAAGATAAACAGACAAAGACAGACAGAGAGACAGATGATAGGTGGATTAAGATACTGAGAGGAAACATGAAATATTTGTCTTCCACCTTCTTGATAAGACCTAGCACATGCTCCATCTAGCTCCTTCTCCAGAGGACAAATTCCTCAACCTTGTTGGAGTTGGAAGGTGTGACAAAGCCATGGATCTGCTCTTCACTGTGTCCTTCTGTGCCCCCAAGCTCCCTTTCATCTTTTATTAAAGCTCTTGAACTATCTTCACCAGGCATTCTCTCATCAGTTCAACCTGCTTAACTGCCTTTCTGCAACTAGCACTATCTCCTCCTGATGAGTTCTAACAGGACACGGTCCCTGTTAATAGACTGAACGATGTGAAAATGATGTGAGTCCTGAACTCCACCTTCACAGAACTACCTCAAATTTAAGATTATATTTATTTTGTGTATGGGTCCTAGGTTCAGGCAGGGTTTGCCAGAACATCTCATTTCTGTTCCACTGAAATTGTCTGAAGACATATGAACTGTCCCTGCACTCATATGTCTGCTCTGTAGGTGGTATTGGCTACCCTCTGAGGCTTTAACTGGAGTGCATACCAAGTATCTATAAGTGGCTTCTGCATGGTGCCTTGACTTCTTCATAGCATGCTGGTTGGGTTTAAAAGGTGATCATCGTGTAGCCCCAGAGTCTATATTCCTATACCATGTCCCTTGCGGTCTGTAGCTTTTTGATAGTTTCGAAGTTGATGGCAGAGGGGATGTACTATCGGTGTTCTTCCCATACTACATATACATTACACAGAAAGAAAAGGTCCATGTGTTAAAGTTTTTTGGTCTCTGTAACAGTTTCTAATATTTTCATGTCAAATAATCAGAGTGTTACTTTTTCTGTTGGGTAAGAAAGTGCCCTTCATGGTTGTATAAATGACACAGCAAGAGCCTTACCTCAGGCTTGCTTCGTGGGATTTTTTTCAATAAAGGTTCAAATGAGATAACACTAATGAAAGCACTATTTAAACAGCAAAGGGTGATTATAAATGGAAGTGCAGGGTATTGTTGTTCTAAGTGTAAACTCAAAAGGAAAGCTAAGAGTCAGTGAATTCCAATGATTGAATCCATGAACTTAACATGAACGCTCTTTCTGGTGATAACAAACAGGTAGAGGATACACTTATGACAGGCAGTAGGAGTAGCTGCTGTGTCACTGCTAATCACAAAATCAGGTGTGGGCAAGGGGGAAGTTGCAAAGCTTCAAGTGGTTTTGCTTGTTTTCAGTGACTTTCTGAAGACTGGTCATTTTATAGTGTGAGTTTGTTTGTTTGGTGTGTGTGTGTGTGTGTGTGTGTGTGTGTGTGTGTTTATGTACCATAATCTGGGTAGGAAAGTGACAATAGCAGAATAAGTTTTGTTTTTATTAGCAGATTTTATGGCTGTGCGGCAGGAGAAAGTTTCAATAGAAAAGACAGGAAACATTCAGTAAGGTAGAACTGGCGGTTAATTGGAATATGAGGTTTGCCCCTCTGTTACTAGCCTCTAAGCTAAACATCTTGCCCTCCATCTTCCCTCCTTGAACATGCATAGTGATGTTCCTATACCTTGCTTAGCCTTCTGTCTAAAGTCTCTGGCTAGGGTCCCACTTTCAAGCTCTTGCCATCCAGTGATGGAGCCAGATGCCAAACTACAGATGTACTGAAAGTCACTCTGCTGCCCAAGAAGCATCACTGCACACCCAGGCTCTCCATTGCCTTGTCCCATGAAGCCCAGCCCCCTTCTGCCCAACCCAGATCTAAAGCACTGCATGCCAGCCACTTGGAGCCCTTTGAGCTGGTGTCTGCCACTCCAGCCTCTGCATGCCTGCTCACAATGTGCCTTTCTCTCTGCTTGCTCCTCCAAACCCCATCTATTCTTAACTCTGAACTAAAACTCTGCCTGCTTCAAGAAGCATTGCCCTTTCCTCTCTATCCCCCCCCCCCCACACACACTGAGCTCTCACCGGCCTTTTGAAACACTTCCAAATGCTGCAGTCCTCACATGTCACATTATCTGTGGCAATCCTTCAAGACTGTTGTCCACCTGGACATTGAGCCCAGTTGGTAGGGTGATTACCCAGTTTGCACAAAGTGCTGAGCTCTGTCTTCAGCACCATATAAAGGCATGGTGGTGCCCACCTGTAATCCCAGCACTTGGGAGGTTGGGGGTGGGAAGATCAGAATATAAAGAGCTTCTCATCTACATATAAAGTTCCAAGAGCGGTCTGTCCTATGTGAGACAATGCCTCAACATTCTCCCCAAAAGGCCATGATGCTATAATGCCTACCAGCACTGCTTATTCCTCTAATACCCATACTTAAACGGTATTTGATGAAAGGTTAAGATATTTAAGCACAAGCAAAAGAAAGAATAAAACTTTTTTCTTGTAATCATGAATGCAGAAGCAGACACCCACAGCTAAACACTAAACAGAACTCCTGGAATCCAGTTTCAGAGAGGTTGGAGTGAGGAGCAAAGGGGTCAAGACCAGGCTAGTGAAACCCACAGACACAGCTGACCTGAACAAGAGGGAGCTCATGGACCCCAGACTGATAGCTGGG